TGGTGCATATAATTTGACTTCTGCTTTGTCGTACTTGACTTGTTCGTACTGTGTGGGGAATGTTCATGACTATATTCATGAGAAATATTGACTATAGTTTCCCTTTCTTTTAATATCTTTACCTGGTTTTAGTAGAAGGGAGATTCTGATCTCATGGAATGAGTTTTAAGTATTTTACTTCTATTTCTTGAAGAGATTGTGGTGAATTGGTATTATTCCTTCCATAAATATTTGGTAGGTTTACCAGTGAAACCATCTATGCATAGAACTTTCTTTTTTGGAAGTTTACTAATTATTGATTCAATAGCTTAAATAGATATTGGGTGATTCAGGCTATTTCTGCTTCTGTGAGCTTTGGTAGTTTATATTTTTCAAGGAATTGATACATCTCATCTCAGTTATCAAATTTGTGGGCTTGGAGTTTCTTATAGCATTCCCTCATTAGGCTTTTAATATCCAACAATCAGTATTGAGGTATTTTTGTATATTCCAAAATATTTAAAAATTTCTCTTCAGTTTTATTTTTGACCCATGTGCTATTTAGAAGTGTACTGTTTAGTTTCCAAATATTTGTGAATATTTTCTAGCTGTCTTTCTGATGTTTAATCCTGTTTTTTTTTTTTTTTGTTTAATCCTGTTCTGATCTAAGAACATGCTTTGTATGATTACTATTCTTTTAAATTTAAGTAAGGTGTGTCCTATGGGCAAGAATATGGTCTATCTTGGTGAATGCTCCCTGTGAGCTTAAGAAGAATGTGTATGTAAATTGGATCTAATTGATTGATAGTGCTCTTTAGGGTCATATATATCCTAATATTTAGGTGTTAGTAGTACCATCTATTGAACTCTCTTCTTTACACTGTGTCATACTGCACCTTCATCCTTTGGTTCACATGTCTAACCATGGCTTCCCTTTGTCTTTCCTTTTTTTTTTTTTTTTAATTTTATTTATGATAGTCACAGAGAGAGAGAGGCAGAGACACAGGCAGAGGGAGAAGCAGGCTCCATGCACCGGGAGCCCGACGTGGGACTCGATCCTGGGTCTCCAGGATCGCGCCCTGGGCCAAAGGCAGGCGCCAAACCGCTGCGCCACCCAGGGATCCCCCTTTTTTTTTTTTTTACCAAAGAAAGACTTGAATGGACTTTTCTAGAACATGGTCCTTCTGTTGGTTTCCTGATGCTACTATGATGAAGAACCATACACTGGGTTGCTTAAAACAACAGAAATTTATTCTTTCTCAGTTCTGAGGGTTAGAAGCCCAAAATCAAGGCATCAGCAGAAACATGAGCTCTCTGAAGTCTCTGGGGAAGAATAGTTTAGTGTCTCTTCTTGTTCCTTATGTTATAATCTATGGTGTTGCATAGCTTGCAGAAGCTGACAATGCCAACAATCTCTGTTTCTTTTATCACATGGCCTTTTCCTGTGTGTCTCCTTTGCCTCCATGTCTGTTATGGTCTTCTTATAAGAACACAAGTCACTGGGTTTAGGGCCACCCTGACACTATTCAGTCCAGTCCAGTCCTCTTCTTGGGTAACAAAAAATGTCATGCGGACACATTTTATTGCGGTCTCTCACTCCCTCCCAGAGGCTCCCCACATGCATTCATTTCCTGAATCTATGGGAAATTCACAGTGAAAGAGAAGATGAAACCCACAGCTGACACATTACCCTGATGTTTGGCTATTTTCCCCTTCCTGTCCTACATTCTGCAACACTTAGTGGAACATAGCATACAACTCTTCCAGATTCCTGCATATCCCATTTCCTCACAAGAATTTATTTTTTTTTCTTATTTAATCTGATAACTGAGACCAGGATATGATGAGAAATTCTATTACTCCTTTGAGAGTAATAGAAATGATAAATATTCATTTCAAGAGGCATCTTCTGGAGCTACATTAACTGTAATCAATGGTAGGCCTCTGGGAGTTGATGTGGCAATGGCTGCAAGAGAAGACACTTTGGAGCAGATGGGCATTTTAGCCTTTCTGATCCTGCCAGGTAACTGGTTTCCTACTTTTGTCTCCATTTCCAGTGGCCCTGTTTGCCAATAGCTTGTTTGCATGTGGGTTTGAATTATACTTATTGCAAAGAAAGGCTCTCTGGCATCATGAGAATAATATGGGTTGGAGACTATTCACCATGAATAAATTATGTTTCTTTTTATTTCATCCTTTGAATTTTTATCTTCAAAAGATTTCATTATATTATTTTTAATGCTAACAGGAGATAAAAATACCATTTTGTAGTTGTTTGGATCAATAAGGTTCTTGGAAAAGAACAGTTGTTGAATGTCAAAGGGATAAGTTTATTTCATTAGCTAGCTCTGGAGCGGTTATTTCACAAGTATTGATATTTAAGTGGGTCCTAAATGGGAAAAGCCATAGCAGGGAGCCATCTGAATACAGATTGAAAACGTCAAAATATGTAACTATTAATGCTCTGGTTTAAAGAAAACTCAGGTTGGATAAATGTTTTCCAGCTATTTCTCTGGTTAAAATATATTTCAATTTCAGCCAGTCTTTATTGTGCTAATTAGAAATATATGCACACCAACATTCTTGTCTGTAGAACTCTTTGTATTCCTTTGTCCTTTAGGGAAAATGGGGTGTTAATTTTGATATAAAAAGGAGAATCCAAAGAATTGGATTTGCCAGGTCCTGGCTTATACAAATGAAACTGCCATTAAACAGCAGAAATTGCTATGTGGCCAAACAGTCAAACTCCAGGATCAAGAATTTGTTCATCTGGAGGAATGTCATGCATCCAACCTTCACCACTGCTTCTTGGGTTGATGATGTTCTATAAACTCTCACCAACATAAGGAGCAGTGATGTGGGGATTCATGGGTAAAGGCCAAATTAGCAGCTTTGTGCTTTCCATTTTAAGGCTGAATTCATACGCAGCTGATAACATTCAAATCTCATTTCATGTAATGAGAGCAGAGAAAATGAATTGTTGTTGCTTTAAGCAGGACACTGTTTCATTTAGTGAATGCAAATCTTTTGGCTCTTTGATACAGTTCAAGATTCTGCTAATGGAAAACAGTCTGTCATGCTTTGGCATATGCATTGACATGCACAATATCAGAGCATACTAGGAGGATATACTTTATCTTGTTTCAAATAATTTATTTCATGGACACACTTAAAATAATGTACGTACAACAGGAATGTCAAAAGCTTCAGATGGCGATTTCTAGTAGGGAACCGTCATAAATAAAAACAAAACAAGTGGAACAAGATGCAATATTTTTTCCTTTGTTCATTTGGAAATCAAATAATCTAAATTCTTGGATTTGGATTTTTTAATATTTACACATATGAATGAAATGCTCCTTGCAAATAAGCTCTGTACACAACCAGATAACTGAGATTATTGATTACTATAATAAAATACTGATAATTTGTGTAGTGTTCTGAAGACGTACATACATTCTGGCTTGGCATTTTGGACATAGTCGTTGTAGTATGCCTACAATGACTTCATGACTGGAAACTGATTCTGATTGGCCAACATCCATAATAAGAAAGAATAATCAGGTAACAAATACATCTTTTCTTTTTTAACATTCTCCCACCCCCTCTCTCCAGAAAAAGAAAGAAAAAACCAAGCTAGATTTATCTTTGCTTACAACAATTCAAAAAATATTTTTGAGTATGACTATGTCTTAGGTGCTGGGAGTATAATGATGAACAGGGCTGTCACAGAGCTGGCCGACAAATATCTCACATTCTAGCCAGAGGAGACAGATGTTCAAACATGCAATTTCAATGCTATGTATCAAGGGACATGACATGGGCAGCTCAGGTGCTGACAACACACATGGCAAGAACATCTACACTGGACTTGATGGGTCAGAAGGCTTCCTGGGAGAAGGTGTGTCTCAAACAGACCAAGGAGGATATGCAGGAGTTAAGCCACATAAAGATAGGTTAGACTATAGTAAGGGAGTTCTAGGAAGAAAGGACTGGAGAGAAGAAAGAACATGAGAAGTTAAAAACCTGAAGTAAAATTTCACTTTCTGGGGGGATCAGAAGGGATGGAACAGAGATTGGGAAGGGGAGGCCAGGTACTAAAGGGCTTTGTGTATCACTTGAAGAAATTTAAACTTGAGTGAAGTGGTTAGAAGGTTCTTGCAATAATCTGCTTTAAGGCTGCATCTTGATTATAAGTGATGGTTAGCATTACTGAATGAAATAACCAATCATTTACTGCTTCTTTTTCCGAAGGTTTTAGATATTTTAGAATACAGAGAGATTTGAATGGAAGGGTTCCTGCAGTAAATTTCTCTTGGAATTGAGTGTGAAAACATTCTTACTGCCAAATATTTATATACTTTTTATAAAATATTCAGAACTGGAAAGCTCAATGATTTTGCCTTTAAGGAAGCTCAAAACACATTTTGTGTTGTGTTTCTTCAAGGTGTCAAGTACATGTTCCTTCTAATCTTGTCATTCACATTTTGTTGAGAATTTTTTTAATATTATTAACTGTCCAGAATTTTCTCTAGAAGAAATGGGCATAAACTATATATATAAAGACACCTTTTGAATTTCCTAGGTTTTTATTTTTAATAAATAATTTTAGTTCATACTTTTTTAAGGAGAATTCTTTGGTCAAGGCAGAAATCCTATTAAAAGGAAAATCACACTTAAGTCTTTGGAATAAAAATACAACTAGAAGAATAACTGAATAGCTAATTACTCTTCACTACTGTGGAAATCACTAGATAGTCAACTGATAATCCAAAAGAATTGGTAGCTAGATAGGTAGGTAGGTATGAAAATGGATGGAGAGATGACCAGATAGATAGATGGATGGATGTTTGGATGGACAGATAGACTGATATATAGACAGACAGCTGAACTATATCTTAAATATCAGCACAATGCTTTTTCCCAATATTTGAGCTCTAGGTGTATGTACATACATGTGTGTATATACATATATTTGACATATGTGTCAAATACATATTATATTTGGTATATGCATCAAATATATCAGGGGTTTATACCCTATTTAGTCATATGCCATGGATGGATAGAGATAACTATCCATCTATTTAGATGGATAGATCCCAAAGGATTAGCCTTTAACTGGCAACATGTAAAGCAAACAAGCAACCCCCATGCCCTAACAACCTGAAGCCACAAATTCAACCAAGTTGACAAAATGGGAAGGGAGGTCTTACTAAATTAACAAAAAAGAGACAGAGAGTGGGAAAAGAACTTGTTACCTCATTTTGCCTGCCTGCCCTCTTTGGACATGAATAGATTTTACTATTTAGTTTCAACATGGAAATAGCAATTAGGCAAAATATGTTAAATATGTGAAAAAGGACAAAAAGGATAGGAAACGTAAGAGACTATGAGTTTCCTAGGACATCATGTACATAAACTTTAAATAGGTTTCTGTCAAAATTTGGAAGGAAATTAAGAGATTTAATTGTTTAATTAAAATGATACACAGAAAAAATATGTTAACTTTACTCAAACACACATTTCATATATTCAGATAACATTCAGTAACTTTTTAATATTAACTTGAATATATTACTTTAAATATTTTTATATTGTAGACAGTCTCGCAGCAACATAATGAATTTCCTCCCTTCATCAAAAACCTATAATAAATTATGCTTTCAACTAAAGATTTTGCCCTACCATGACAAGACTATGTTTAAAACTTAAAAACAAATGCTTCTCTCATTTATGTTTATTTTTAAAAGGAACCAAAAAAAAGTCTGCTTTTCTAAATAATATATTTCAGAAATGCATAGAACATTCCTCAGTATTACAGTGATAATTATAAGAAAAGGATAGAATTCACCTTATTTTGTCTTATTACACACTTTTTCCCCTTAGATAATACTAAATGCATCCTTCTAGTTTCAGTTTCAAGTCTTTGAAAAAGACGTAGTCTTAAGAAATTAGAAAGGAATTTAAACCCCAATTCATAAAACATCATCTTCCCACCTGAGAAAGGTTGGAAATCACAGACTAATAAATACCACTCCTTTAATATTCTAAAGAAACAGCATCTGAACAAGAATAGTGGGCAGAAAGCAGTGTAATGATAAATCGCATCAAACGATGTAATCCCTCTCAGCCTTCATAGGATGCTTTCCATTTTCCAAATCTTTATAAGACATGAAAACTCTCAATTGCCCGAGAGGTAGATGATGAACCCATTTTTCCAAATGGGAAACTGAGGCATTGAGTTGTCTTTACCGCAGGCTGTAAAAAATGGTCAGCAGCAGAATCAAGATAAGATGCAGGACAAAGGTTGCTCAAAACGTGACAGTGGCACGGCAGGAATTATCTTGGTCCATCTACAGCTTGTGCTCTGTTTTGCTCTATGACGTGCACCGCTGCTAGAAGTTTGAAACTCCATCTGAAGTTGACAGCACATCTATTCTCCATTGTGAAACCCCGTGAGATCAGCATGAGGAATGATCATCTACAGTGGCCTCCTCAGACTTTAGGAGGTTGAAACTACATAGAATGTATTTCAACAAATGACATCAAGACATGAAACACAAAGAAAGGGCAGCTTATGCAATAAGGTAAATGGCAGCTTCACTTCAATATTTCTACTGTTATTCTACAAAGAGATGTTTATGAGTACAATTAAAAACACATTATCAAGCAATTGGATTTGAAATATAACTCACATCTCTCTGCCGATGTGAGCCTTGATGTACATGCTCTTACATGTGGAGGGACTAAATATAGTGTGATTTTACTGGGCTTTATATTGAACACATCTCTTTCTAGAATACAAAAATGTATGCTTATCCTCTACTAATGATTTACCAGGCTCCTCAAGTATACTGAAACGCTAAAGAAAATGTGATTATTTCACTGAGCAGTGTACTAGTCAAATAAACAAAATGGCCAGAGTGGGGGTAGACTTGGAAGAGAGATGCAGGAAGATGTGGGAGATGCAGGAAAATAAACAACTCCGGTGTCATTCTTTAGGCTCGTGAGAATGATGTCTGGGGGTGCCAACCCCGCAGTCACTGCGTGAGTACCCAGTACATTAGGGACACACTGATATAGATGACACACAGTGTTATCCAGTTTATTCTTGTGATTGGCGGCCTGTGGTTACCTGTCACGTGGAGGATGACATTGGAAGAGAGAATGCCACTAGAGTTTTGGGCCTGAGCCACATAGAGGCCTGCGTCTGCCTCACATACCTTTGGAATGAACACCGAATGTCTTGTCTCCTTGTGTAAAACCTGTAAGTGCCCATCTGCAGACAATCTCTGGCCCTTCTTGTACCTGAAGCAGAGAGTCAGTTTTGAAAGTCAGGATCACTGTATATTCACATTATTTCCAAGTTCTAAAAACCATTGCAAACAAGCCCATTACCACTGCGATATTCTCTTTCTAGTGTTAGCAGGAACTTTACAGCTACCACAGATTCCAATGGGGCTGTTCAATCTTCAAGCAGAGGTTGGAGAGTTGTGGCCAGAGAAATGCTTGATTGGGTCAGACTGTATTTTCAAAAAAATTGAATTTTTTGACAACATTTAACAGTTGGAATATTGCATGTGAAAATTCAGATATCCTACTCCTAAAAAAAAATCCCAGAACAGGGTGCCTGCCTGGGTCAGTTGGTTAAGTGTTGGTCTCCTGGTTTTGGCTCAGTTCATGATCTCAGGGTCATGAGACTGAGCCCCACGTGGGACTCTGCACTGGGCCTGGAGCCTGCTCAGGATTCTCTGTCTCCCTCTGTATTCCCTCACCCCTCTCTCTTCCTCTCTAAACAAACAAACAAACAAAAAAAACACACACACACACACACACAAACCCAGACCACCTGGTCACAGAGGGCCACCATTTGCTTATGACAACAATTACCTACAGTGTGAAATGGCACCCCTCTGTTTGGCTTGTGTCATTCTTTCAGCCACTATGGAACAGCAGCTGTGACTTCTGTGAGTCCATATTGGAGTTAGGCTCATCCATCCCATCATATTCACCCCACAAGATCCATGTGAGAATTCCAATACATTGTTTTAGAGGAAGCTACTTACACATTTCCTAGTGAAATGAGTTCATTTAATTTTTATGAATTAATTTCATTAGAAGAAAAACGATTTGTAATTATAAAAGGCATTTATGTAATTGGATTATTACTGTTGATGACATGTTTCCAAAAGTTTCCTATGAACATGAGTACTTAGCTGCCTCTTTTTAGAAAGCAAATAATTTATTTTGTATATTCTCGATTCTTATTTATACCCGTGTTCCTTCACCTAAGGAGTGGTAACAAACCTGAATAATTTTCTATTCCCATTGCCTATGTGATAATTTTGCATTTTAATGAGAGTCCAAAGAATGTAGGATTCTAAGAGCTTGCTAGGTGATAATTGAGCAAAATCATCGTAAATCCAAAAGCAAGATATTTTTTCACAATACGGTGATGATTCTTCAACAATAAATACTAGCCAAGTTATTCGTTGTGTGGACAAAACCAAGAAATACTGCAGACAACGTTTTTCTTTGGGGTGAACTGGTATTTAATAATGAATAAAATATTTTCTAAATTCATAAATATGAAATTTCTGATCTATAAAAAACCATGCAATTGTAAAAACAATATAATAAAACAAAAGCACAAATGGCTGCACGGTAGCACAAATGCAGAATCTTTTAATAATAATATAATTTTAATAATATTAAATAATAATCTGAGAGACCCGAGTTTTCTCATAGATTCTTTAGTTAACCAACTCACACTTCAAGTATCATCAGTGGGCACACGCAGGAGTTGAAACTCTTAATTTAGTGTCTACTGAAATATTGTGATAAATAAATGCTATTTTACTTAGTTTAGGAGTATGAATTCAGTCTCATATAACTTTGTTCTCAGATAAATCTACTTACAGGTGAAAAATTTCTAAATGCCTAGAAAAAACCCACGTATCGAGAAAGTGAGAACTACTTTTAAAACAACAGTGATTCAAAACCTGTATTCTTCAGTTTACTTTCTATTAAAACAAATATGCTAAAAAATAATGACGTCTCCAGAGGGAAATCCTATTGTTCACGGCTCAGTTATTACACCACCTTTCAAAAATGGGTTTATTACCTGTCACTGGGAGCAACTGTGAAAGAAATATTTTTACTCCATCTCTCACACTGAAGACATTTATAGAAAGAAATCTTAGTGAAACAGACACAAATATCACAAAAATGATGGGTGACTCTGTTGGGAAGAGGGAAAAGATGAAATAGGCAAAAAGAAATGGGGGAAAAAAACCGATTCTTTTGTGTTTTAATTGAATATGGGAGGTTAGACTAAGAAAATGTCATGCTTATGTGGAAATAAGCAATAGGGAAGAATTTCAACCCACAATCCTCAGAAACGTGGAATGTCAAACTAATTCCAGAAAGAAAAAAGAGGAAAAGGAGCCGCACAAGAGCACAGCTAAGCTACAGTGCTCTTGGAGTTGGTTAAGTCATGATTTTACGGGTTCCTTTCGTTGCTCGCGGGGGTCAGGCGGTGCGTGCGCCCGCAGGGGGCCGGGTGGGGCTGCGGTGAGTCAGCCGGGCTGCAGGGCTGCAGGGCTGCAGGGCTGCAGGGCTGCAGAACGCTAATCAGCTGCCCCCCCCCCCCCCCCCCCCGCCCAGCTTTAAGTCAGCGCACCCAGAACGGTTTGCTCGGTCGTTCAATGCGTTTATGACTTGTCATTATAGGCTACCCACCAGGTCAGTGTCGGCTCGGGAAATCCTGTAACTTCCACTTCCAGAGTCACTGGAGAACCTTCCGTGACGGTTACATTAGACAGGAGCCTGGAGAAACCGGGAGCCTGGCGGGCACGGCCGGCCCCAGCGCCGCCGGCTGCTCCCTCCGCCTCCTCCCGGGGGGCCGCCGCCCGGGCGCCAGGCAGCGCGCCTCGGGGCGGGGTGAGGTTACTGGGGCCCTGCACGTGGTCCCGCGGCCCCGGCCAGCTCCCCCGGGCCGCCGCCGCGTGCACCGCGCCCCCTCGGCCCGAGGCGGTCCCGTGTCCCGGGCGTCCCGGGGGCCCCACCGCGAGCTCCGCTCGGGCCCGCGGGGACGCCGTCTGCACCGGGCTCCGGAGGCTTCCTCCCGCGGCCTCGGGAGCGGGGGCAGAGGCGGCGGGCGGCGGCCTGCGGCGGCTCCCGCGGAGGCCCGGGCCCGAGCGGGCGCGCTCCTCCTCCTCCGCGGCGGCGTCCGCCGCCCACGCACCTGCTCCCCGCGCCTGCAAAACAGAAAAGCCAAGGCTTCGGGTGAGCCACGGAGGTGCGCGCCTCGGGGTCTCTAACTCCACCCGGCGCCCGGGCCCGCGGGGGGTCAGGGCTGCGGCCGCGCGCCTGGGCGCCCCTGGGAGCGCCTGTCCACGCGCCTGGACGCACCTGGGCGCACCTGGGAGCACCTGTCTGCGCACCTGGGCGCACCTGGGAGCACCTGTCTGCGCACCTGGGCGCACCCGGGAGCACCTGTCCGCGCGCCTGGGCGCCCCCGCCCGACCCCGGCTGGCAGGCCTCCCGGGGGCCGGGAGACACAGGCCTGCTCTCCGCCCGCAAGGCCCCCGGGTCCCCCTGGCCGTGAGCTGAGGACTCTCCCTCCCCCAGCAATTTCTGCTCTGTTTTGTCTACACTCCGTGTGAGCACACAGTTCCGGACTCTCAGGGCTCCCGTGTGAGGTCATTCCCCATGACCCTACCGAGAATAACCCCTCTGTCTTCCTTAGGAAAGCCATTCGTTATCATCACCATCACCATCATCGTTATTATCATTGTCATTATTATTATCATTATTACTGTGGTTAAACGCACACAACATGAGATTTGCCGTTGCAGCCCACGGAGCGCACCCACACTGGCGCAGCACCCGCCCCCCCCCCCCCCGCGGGGTCGTCCCAGCGCGTGGCCGTCCTTCCAGCCCGGGTCCGAACCCCTTCAACACCGAGGTCCCGCTCCCCACTCCCGCCAGCAAATCCTACACCGTCTTTAGGAATCTGAGAACTCCAGTTACCTCACAGGGGGAAAGCATGCATGCATTTATTTATTATTTATTGATTGATTGATTGATTTTGTTTAGCCATTTTTATGACTGGTTTTATTTTCTTAAACACCCTTATTTTTATTCTTCCGCTGAAAACCATCAGTGGAGCGAGCACCTGTGTTGTACCAGGTTCCATGCTGGGATTGGTGAGCTGGGATGAGTGAGAGTAAAGACACAGCCTCTCCCCTCGCAGACAGAACAGCCTGCATGGGAAGCAGACATGGGTGGCACAATCCCACGGTATGATCTTTCACAAGAGAACCCAAGATACAAAAGGGGGAGTGCCTGCCACGATCCCTCCATGCCATGGAGGGCGGCCCTCAGGCTAGGAGCCCAGAACATCAGGGCTTCACCTCCTAATGCTGACGCCCACCTAGTATTTCTCCCCACTGACCCCTCTATCTTCCCAGTGCCCTGGTATTTCTCCCCACTAACCCGTCTATCTCCCCACTACCCTAGTATTTCTCCCCCCTGACCCACGTCCATCTCTGGCTTAAGAAGAAGCTCAAATATCCTGTCGGGCATAGACTCCAAACTGAGTTCAAGCTGAAAGGGATCTCATCTAGCTCAACCTGTTGTTTTAGCTCTTTTTTTTTTTTTTTTTTTTTTTTTTTTTTTTTTTTTTGCCTTTCCTCAGTTTGGGGTACATTTTTGCTTAGCAATCACCAGGTTTTGTCCCATTGCTACTGCTTGCACATAATAACATTATGTCCTGCCTTGACTTTGAGTTCTTCTTTAAGCTCATAGTCCTACCCCTGACAAATACTTCATAATTTTTGAGAAATAAATACGTTTTCAGGTGGAAAATGAGAAGCAAAAACAAAACGATGCTCCTTCCACTACCCCAGAGACACACAGTATCCTTAGCCTTATAGCTTTAGAGAAAGTGGCTTCCTCCAGCCATTTCGTAGAAGTTTAAACTCTGGGTTTAAAAGCCAAAAGTTTTTAAAGGTCCTTGCCATTAAAAAAAAAAAAATTACTAAATAAACACATATCCAGTAGGAAATGCCCCTTCCTTCTGGTTTTCTTACTTCCGGTTTAGCTCTGCTTTTATTTTGCTTCTCACAGAGACTTAGGTCCAACTTCCTTTTCAGTCTAGGAATCTCCTTGATGACAATCTGGTAGCTTCTGTTTGAATACTTTTTGGGAAAGAGAGCTTTCTTTGAAAAGAATTTTATGCTTTACTTGTGTTAAGAATCTCTTCCTGTATTTAGCAACAATATGCCTTCAATGAGTTTCCAACAATGGATCTGAACTGGCCTCCTGGGGCGACATAGATGACTAACTATTCTCCTATTTCCACAGCCCTTTGACTTTTTGGAGAATTGGTGCCACAACCTCCAGGTCTTCTTCGGCCTTGGTTCTAGAACTTTTATCATCCTGGTCAACTTTACGGAAGTCCCACTCCTACTGGGCTATCAGCTCCTTCACAGCAGGGACATTTGTTGATTTGAGGGTCTTCCATGGCCAGGCAACTTCTTAGTGACTTCTTTGGGTAACCTGTGTCTCTCCAAAGAAGAAGAATGTTGAAGAATTGTCTGAAAATTTGCAACAAGCTTAGGAGAGAAACCTGAATAAAAATCCAGTCTAGTCTTCTCACTCCCCCCTCCCTCTTGGGGAGGAGATGACTTTGCCAACTGCAGGTTTAGACTGAGCATGTTCAGCTCTGACTTTTTGAGGCCTCTCTTGTGCATCTACCTTCCACCAACTGTGTATATTCACACTAGCTCTAAAGTTTGAAAAGCCCTGAACAGAAAGCCTGTGGCTGTTTAGCTGTGTACCCAAGAGTCTGGGTAGGCAAGGCTATCTAAATCAGCGATTAAGTTTTAGGAGACCTCCTAGAAAAGTCCAAGCCATTTCTCTGAGCCAGCTTTGACTAGTTACTGATTCCTGACTCCTCTCTTTCAGATGGTGCTGAACTCACAAGGGAATCCAAGAATATTATGTTTTTACTCCCTACAATTCCGAATGTAGAAAAATACTGTCCACAGAAAAGAACACTACCAGATAATTTCTACTGACAATAAGAGAGACGGAATATTATCAAATCTTTTTCTAGAAACATTTCCATTTATTTATGTTCCCCCTAAATGTTTATTTCCAAGATTTATTTACTTTCAGATGGGAACTAATCAGTGGACCAACATCTCCTTGATCTATGTGATATATTTTTAGTGATTATATTCGTTCTTTTTTTGTTGTTTTTATAAGAACTAGGTGTGGTGGGCAGCCTGGGTGGCTCAGTGGTTTGGTACCTGCCTTTGGCCCAGAGTGTGATCCTGGAGTCCCGGGATCGAGTCCCATGTCAGGCTCCCTGCATGGGGCCTGCTTCTCCCTCTGCCTCTCTCTCTCTCCCTCTCTCTCTCTCTCAAGAATAAAGAAATAAAATCTTAAAAAAAAAAAAAAGAACTAGGTGTGGCTATTGACTCATACTGAGTTTTTAATCAGCTAAAATTCTCTACCTCTTCTAGTAATGCCATTGACAAAAATGTTGAACACTGCAGAGTTCAGGACAAAGTCAGATGTCTCCCCAAGGCAAAGCAAACTGTCTTCCAGGTTGACACAGTAGAACAATCTAACATTCCTGGAACACTTATAACCCAACCAAACTTATTCAGTTCGTTTCTTTCCACCTACTTTAAGAGAGAGAGATCATGAATGGGTTTATCAAATGACTTTTTGAAATCACAATACATTTTGCCTATGGCACTAACCTAGGATTATCCATTAAATAATCATCTCACCAAATAAAATAAGGTGAATTTAATACAATTTATCCTGAGTCAATCCATGTTGGCTCTTGGTACTTCTGCCTTTATTTCCAAAAGCAAATAAATAAGCTTTCAGCTTTTAAATCATTATGGAATTCTACAAAACTTCCTTTTTAATTAATTAATTAATTTTTAAAATTCAAGTATAATTAGCCTACAGCGTTATATTAGTAATGTGCTGTATGTACGAGATGGTAGCTACACTTGTGGTGAGCAGAGCATAACATATAAAGTTGTTGAACCACAATGTTGTACACCTGAAACTAAAGTAACATTGTGTGTCAACTTTACTTCAACTTAAAAAAATAATAAATTACAAGGCAAATGATAGAAAAGGATTTACGATAGATATTTTTGATGCTGCCAACTGTAAGTAAGCATTAACACTACGTGCCAGCCATTATTTTTTTCTTTTTTGCAGTTATGTACTTTATGCAGGCAGGGGGATCCAGACAATTCTTTCTGTGGGGTGAGAGAGTATTTATTAACCCGTGGGTCTTACATTCTACTCCAATTGACCCCCATATCAGTCTGGTTCTAAGACTGTAGGGAGAGTTAAGTAATTGATTCTTAAATTTTTAAATTGTCTCCTGTATGCTATAGTACCTCCAAACTGGACTCTTAGATCATGTATATTGAGGGTAACTTTGAAACATAAATTTGTTTTATATTATCTGTTCTTCTTGGGGTGCAAAAAATTATCACCATGCAGTGGGGGAATGATGCCTTCATTGCCTGTGTGTCCCTGGCTCTGAGTCATACAGGAATGGATTGTTATATCTCCTTGCCAAAATGAAAGATTCTATGTAAGTATGTAGTTTAAATGAGCTCAGTTCAGAGAAGGCTCCCAAGCTCCCTGCTTTTGCGGGCAGTATCTTTAACGTATGAGAATTAACTAGTACACCTGAGTCTTAAACTGGCAACATCATTTCTCAGCTATGATTTCCTTTGTGGCCCAGGAAAGCTCCTAAATTACAGATTTACTTCATAGAATTAAAAATCCCTATTAATATTAAAAAAAAGCACTTCCATGCTATTGCTTTATTAATCAAAGTGTAAACAGATGAAGGGAAAGAGGGAAAAGGGTCAGCATGGGAATCTGCAGTATCATTACAAAGCAGCTCATTTATATGCAGCACTTCCTTGGAGCTCCCTGTAGGTCTTGTGGAAAAAGTGAACACGTCTGAAATTTAGGAGAATGGGGCTGCCCATCCCGTTCTCACTGTACTTTCTGGGATTTGTGGAGGGCAAAATATTTTATCTCTTTTAGTCTCAGTTTCCTCAACTGTAAAATAAGATTTGATTAGATGATTGCTAAATTCCTCCTAGCACTTGAATTCTATGATGCTAAATGTGGGCATTGCAAGCCTGCATCCTCTATTGAATAAAGTTCTGTGATTTCGTGGGAATCTCTTTATGGTCTT